AGGATTTATAAATGCAGGTTAATGGAGCACAACATATATTATTATATCATATTATATTATATTCAACTCATTATACGGTTAACTTGAGATATTTCAATATTTCCTCATTTCTGCAGTCCATTGGTGCCGGTTATATACATGCACTGTCCTGTGTATTTTTGTTTTGCGAATTTTGTCATAAAGGAGGCATTAGCTAGGCCCACTTTGCCTGACCTGTTTATCCTATTGCTTTTGGGAAAAAGGTTTTAGGCCTATAGTGATGCTAATGTTATAAATGTTACTATTGTTACTCTTGACATTGTTATTATTACAATATCATTAGCAATGCTGAAAATTCCAAGAATAGGGTATACTGATGAGAAAAGCCAGTATCAAATAATGCAAATGTAATAAATGTTATGATTGTTACACTTGATATTGTTATTATTACAATATTATTAACAATACTGTAAATTCAAAGAATTAGGGTATACTGGTGAGATCAAGTACGCCTAAAAATGGATTCTTTAAAATCTGTGAACTTGTGGAGCCATCTACCTGTAAATGAAAGGAATAAACTAAAATCAAGGCAGACAGGCCATGTATACATGCCCTCCCAGCATCATTTGATTAGAAATAAATGTTTATATATGTTATATAAGTTGAGTGAGGAATTTTGCATGAATGAATGTTATTAAAAAACACAATATTTGTATTTTCCATAGAAACTGAAGAGAAGCTGATGTAATACAAACTGATAGATGTTATTGTTCAATGTTATGTGAAATTTATACACAAAGTATATTTTGTAGAGATTTAAAATATATATATACATATGGTAGATTTAGCACATTTTATAGCATCTTGTCATATATATCTCAATAGTACATATATAAGGCTGTGTATACTTTTAGTTGCGTGATTGTTTGCTCTATATATTCAGTTGGAGTGTGAAGTATTAGATACTCAATATTTTGGTGAATTAGTTTAGTCTTTCTTTATAATCAGATGAGGATGATATATATTTATCAATATAGAAATGTGTGCCTGATTTGTAAAAGAAATAAAGTGTACTACTAAGGTAACAGAATAAAGTAGTTCAATTTGTATGAGTTTGTGCCAGAAACAGTGCCTCTTTGTAAATTCCAACATAATGTACTGTTCTGAGTGTTTGTGTGTTTGTGCATGTGCATATTTATGTTTGTGTTTGTTTGTGTGAGAGAGAGAGAGAGGGAGTGAAAGGGCTAGTCAGTGGCTAGTGAGAGCGAGAGATAGAGAGCGAGAGAGTGATAGAAAGAGAGAGAGCGAGAGAGTGATAGAGAGAGAGAGCGAGAGAGTGATAGAGAGAGAGAGCGAGAGAGTGATAGAGAGAGAGAGCGAGAGAGTGATAGAGAGAGAGAGCGAGAGAGTGATAAAGAGAGAGCAGCGAGAGAGTGATAGAGAGAGAAAGCGAGAGAGAGAGAGAGCGAGAGAGAACGAGAGAGGGAGGGAGGGAAGGAGGGAGGATGTGGGAGTGAGTGGGTGGGTGGGTGGCTGGGAGGAAGAAGGATGGAAGGAAAGAAGGAAGGAAGAAAGAAAGAAAGAAAGGAAGGGAGGGGAGGGGAGAGAAGGGAAAGAAGTAGGGGGAGAGAGAGGGAAAGAAGTAGGGGGAGAGAGAGTGAAAGAGTGAGAGAGGGAGAGAGAGAGAGAGAAACATTAAAAATCATATTTTTGTCAGATTGAGATTGTCAGGCCTCTGATATTTGTGTTCAAGTCATTACCATATCTAAGTTCTCATAGATGCTTTAGTAATCTCACATTATCCAAAAATCCAATATTTTTCTCATATGCTAAAAAGAGTTGATTTTGGGTATTTCAATCTCAAAGTAATATGAAAAAAGTCTATTGTAGTTTTGTATATGTATAACATGAACCACCTTTTAAATCTGGTTTAAAAGTACAAAATTGTTTTGCCCTCATCATCTTCAAAGTTTTTTCTTTCTTTCTTTTTTTGAGATACAGATGTACATGATTGCATTAATTTTCAGCTCTTTGTTATATATGAACAGGTATAATGCACTTGATCTATGTCATTTGATTATTCACTACTTTTTACTAATATGAAAAAATATAAAAACAACACATGCAGGTTTAGAAAAAAAAATGTATTCTTAAGCTTGAATATAAACTATTATTATTTCCTCTTTATGATACAGTTTGACAGAAAAAGAAAACTATATACAAAATGGGCATGTTGATATAAGACATTAATATCAACATTCCTTTTGATTTCAGCTGCCTGATCCAGGAGGATTTGGAAATTATTGGTCCATAATTTTGTAAAGTAGATATGTGTGTAGTAATTTTTTCAGCATTTTGTCAGTATGATTGAGTGTTTTTTCATTCATTACACAGTTTGTATACTCCAACTTTGTAGGATTATGCTAAAATATGTAATCAAACACATTATTATGTAATTAATTTGAAGATTCATGTTTATTATTACTTAAGTAGAGATTTATGAATAAAATTCTGTCATTAA